TGTTCTTTTTCAGCAACCACTAACGAGCTCTGTCATGTCCAGCAATTTGCTACAAAATGAAATAATGTGATGAATAATTTTATTAAATTAAAAACAAGAAAACATGAATTTTAGAAAATAAAGGAAAAACGGTCAGGACAGTAAAATAGATTCAGGTTATGATTTTTATTATTTTTATTACCATCATCATCATTATTAATATAATATTCGTATTATAATTATTGATATTATAATTAATTATTATTATTAATATTATTCGTTTTTGCGTTATTTTCATTTTATAAAATAAGGTTGAAAATTATTGATAGTTTAATTGTTGTATACATCGTGGTTTCATAATCCATTTAATCCATTTGTGGACGACGCATGGCCTTCACATTCAATCCCTTCGCAATATTTTTATTATTTTTATATTCATTTATTTATTATCATTAGTTGTAATTGCATTTGCAAACAGACAGTTAGAGTATATAATACAGTGGTGTATTTTCGTTTTTGTTCTAAAGTAATCGTATGATAGTTTTTTTATTTTTTTAATCAAAAAGCTACTACTTTAATACTATGGTTAATTAAAATTAGAAACATAAATTAATTTTTTCTTGTATGTATAAAGATGGTATAGAGTATTGCTTAGAGTCACATATATTTTATTAACAATCTAGTTTTCGTTTTGATTTTTTTTCTACCATCTTAATCTAACGAATTAATGACATTTTGTTGGTCGATTATTATAGTTAATGTAATAATAATGTTGTCAGAAAACTTTTTACATATTTTTCCATTCAGTTACATTAAAAGTCGTAGATAATAAATTTTCTTTTGTCAACTTTTTGACCATTTTTACTTCAATAGAAATAAAATTTTTTTTTTCATCTGCTTTTAAATATTTATGAATGCGAAATGTATTTCTTTACGATTTTATTTTCCATCGAAAGATGAAACCTACAATTTCGCTTTCAACTTCACAGCTTGTGTTCAGGAAACGCTGCACGTTTTTAGATTTTTCAAGCACGAAATATAACCCTTCGCTTTCTGTTCGACTAATACAAGTAAAAAATAGAAAAATTGAATACAGTCCAAGATGAGACGGTTCAGGTGATAGCACTTTCTTTTTTCATTCACCTGTATTTCAATTGATTTTTTATGAATTTTTATGTGTTTTAATAAAAGAAATGATTAGTGAGTATATTTATATACAGTTAATTATTGATAGATTTAATTGCGGAAGAAATGGAAGACTTTTATAGATCAAGTATTAATGTCAAACGATTTGTAAAACACAACTTACTCTACAAAATTTATATATTTATTTATTTGATTTATTCACTGTGTTCTATTTATTACTACATTTGTGTTCTACCTTGAATGCACAAGGGTCTTATGAATCTTGTGTACTAGAAATTTATGCGTGCGATTTTTGAGTTTCACATTAAATATACAATTTCGACACACCACACGGAAATAGACATATTATTTGTTCACCTACACATATACATATATACGGAGCGCTACAAGAACCAAGTTTGAATGTCAACATTTAAAAATAATTTATTGAAACGAAAGGAATTACTAGCCAATATTTCGGCAGAATAAAATTTCATTTAGCTGTAAAACTATAGATAGATGTCTAGGATGATATTGAGAGACTAAGGGTGAAGCCCGCGGTCGTAAAAGTATTTTTCTTTTTTTTTTGTTGTTATATGGCAACAAGTTAAACAAATCAAGTCATTGATTTTTCCCTTTATTTTTGTCTTTTACGCTAACATATTCACTCTATTTTACAAACTTAATATTGATTTTTTATTCTGATTGTTTGAGCAGTTTGCATCAGTTTTTATGCTATTTTTGAAAAGTTTAGTTATTTATAAGCATTGAGACGAACTGGTAGCTAGCTATATTTGCACATGAAATGTGTCAAAAATGTTTGGTAGTTTCACACGTAGAATAGTCTTTTGTTGTTTTGTCTAAAAATTTGTTACATGAGGATTTTGTAAAAATAAGAGTTTCCTGTTATGTGGAAAGTCAATCTTAAATATATTTTGTCAACCTGACTGGTAAAATGAAATCTACTGTAGAATGATTATTTAAATATTAATGACCTAAAATAAATTCGAATAAAACAATTTTAATATTAATATATTAATAATGAGCAACTCATGTTTATTTAAGTATTCAAAGTTATTTATGTTCAAGTAAGTCTGTTATAAGTTTTATTTTTCAACTTGGAAAATACTTAAATATTAAAATTTTTTGTTTTGTTGAATTCACAAGCAGCTCATATTAAGAAACGTTTATGTTATAAAAAAATCATTAGCATTAACGTCTTTTTATTGCTACTGTGGTATTATTAAACGTGAATATTTTACAATTCACATCAAATTCACTGAAGACTTACATGTTATTATTCTTCCACTTTATGGCTTTTTCATACCATCATTATCATCATAATTATTTTTATTAACCACGATTTTTATGTATCCTAAAAATTTCTTATTACGGCTTGATTATGAATTCAGGATAAAACAAAATCGTTTCAAACGAAAGAATAAATAAAATCGATAAAATCAACCTTATTAACAATTGATCATTTATTATTTGGAAAAAAACACACACACACATTTTTTATCAATCAATAAATTTTTAACACTCGGTTTCATAAATAAGATATAGAGAAAAAGCAAAATACATTAAATACTCAGAATGATTTTGCAATTGTATCAGGCGCAAATGTGCTTTGACATTTCTCAGCAATTGAGGTAACATCAATCATAATGGGCAATTAGTTGATCGTTAATTTGTACGACCACATCATCGATTTTAATAGCCAATTAGATAGGAAGTTAATTCAATCCTCAAAATACTTCCTTCATGATCTTAAACACTTAAAGATTTAAAAATAACAATATTCACATCACAAAAACAAATTAACAATCAATAGAATTAAATATACACTCTCACCTTCAATTTTGTTATTTACACTAAACCATTTTCATTTAATTACATGATTACTATATTTGTTAATGTAAATATTTTTTAAAATTTTTCTCTTCATTCACTTTGTTCTATAACAATCAACACTATTAGACAAAAAATTTCCTTTCATATTGATAATATTGATACTAACAATTACGGGAATAATCTTATTTCGGACAATTTTTGGGGAATATTTATAATAATTCTATTCATACATACACATGTATACATCGTGTACATGTCAAATCTATACAGATTACATATAATGTTTACAATATTAATTTTGAGGAACTACTAAGTTATATTATTGATTTCATGAAAGTGTTATTTTATTTATAAATATTTACATAAATAATTTCATAACAATGCGTTATTTAGAATTAATTTTAATAGCTAAAACCATCAGAATGTAGAATTAATTTAATATATATATATATATTTATGTATTATATAATATTAATAATAATAATCCAATGTACATTTATGATTTACAATCAATTATTACAATTACTACTGTAAATTTCATTTTTTTTACTTCCTCAACGTGGCTTTCTTCTTTTTTAATTTTATGAATATACATTTGTTTCATTTTTTTCTGTCCAATTCAATTTACCTTATTCCACGCCGAGGCACGGCCATGCAAAAGCTGCTTGTCACTCCTAAACACATATCTTGAAAGCGTTTTAGTGATATCACAGTGATTTCATTGCTCCAATATTATTAATAGAATATTTTTCATTCTGAACTACACACAACGTAATGTGTCAGTTTCTGTCGTGAATTATTTGATTTGAATTTTATAGATCGTGACTTTGTCACATTTAATGATGATATTGCAACGTTTTTTTTTTTTAAATAAAAGACAGTTAATTCCAAAGATTTTTTTAATAACGTTAATGACTTTGAAAACGCTCCCTTACAAATGAGTCTACAATGAACTTTTAATTGATTTTTAAATTTCAAGGATGTTATTGAATTTTTATTATTATTTATAATGGTTATTAAAGTGATAAAAATTATAAGCAAATTATTGTATGCGGGTTAAAATGTTTAATGATTTTTATTCTTAAATTTAATTTAAAACAATTAAGTGAAATTAAATCATTAAACATATTTGAAGCAATTTCAGAATAAATTAATTGTTTCATTGCATTATGTGATTGTATAACGATCTATAATAAATTATTATACTCAATAATTAATTACCTATTCTTGAACGTTGTTAAAAATTATTTTTAAAAGAATTAAAAATAAAACAGTATATTATATGTATAAGAAAATTATTAACAGTATAAATGATTGGAAATTATAAAGTGTATTATCTATCTTGTCAATTATATATAAATATGAATCACTTATACACATATTCATATTTATATAGACAATAAGAGCAGCAGTCTGACAATATTACGTTTGTGCAAAATCAATAGAAAATGAATTAATGGAATGAATTGTCATAACTTCAATAAATTGAAATAAATTATCAATAAACACACAATACTTATTCACAGAATATTTTATATTATCATGTCAATATGTCAAGTATCGCATTCAAATTTCTACTTTTAATTAATTAGTGAGACACACAAATAATGCGTAAGCACTTATTCAAAATTGATTTTATTGTAAAAGTAAATATTGACGAAATTAATTTATTTAACTGCAGAATTGAAATCATTTAAAGATCGTTCATATATTTTCGTTTTATTATCATCGAGTAGTAATAACTGCAGTACACATTGAGATTTTGTTTAAAAAGTTTACAAGTTACAAGTTAATTTGCCTAATGCAAAAAATCTTTACCAAATATCTTTTTTTTCTACTAACTTCTAATTATTATTTCATCTTATTATTATTAATATTATTAATAATAATATTTGTAGTGTGTTATATTATTATTACAATCATGATAGCATTTTTTTATTAATATGTGCATAATTATTTATATGTGTATAGATGATTTATGATTTTTAAATTGCACGTTATATTTAAAAAAATGTATAGCACCTATAAGATTTTCTCGCTGCTACTATTAAAAAGACAGTTTATTACTAAATACGAGAAAGTCTCATTTCATATAATCTGTATATAATACAATTTATATATATATATTTATGTATATGTATATATAACAATTATAATTTTGTGTATGAAGTTTTTTTTTGTCGCATAAGAAGTTATTAAACAAATATTACATTTTTTTTTATTTTCTCTTTTATATAAATAAGTACATCGCCAGTCCTAATTATTATATTCATAATCGACCAACTTTTGGTAGTAGGGAACATTGAATAATTAATTTGCCTCAACGACCCGAATGCGAGTTTTTTTTCAAATACAAAGGATTTTTTTTACTCAAATTTTTCAATGAAATTATTATACGTTAATAATTATTTTAAGCTCAGTTGATGAACCTCTTGTTAACTGAGTATTATTGCTTTTCTTTGTTTATAAATAATTTTTATTGAACAACAATGAGTAAAATGGGCTTTTTTCCGTTTAGTTTCCATGCCAATATGAATGTGAAAAAAATTCGAATTACAAGAATATTCGTTTAGTTTAACTATTTGATCCATTTATAAAATTCATACATAAATTGAATAAATAATTATGGTTCGTTTTAAGGTAATAAATGTATTTAGATAATTTATGTGCTATACGTCATGTTGTTTATGCTTCTAATTTCTAACATTCTGCTGGTCCAATAATTATAATCAAAACGCAAAGCTCTGACGATCACGTCTGAGTGTTATTGATCGGGGTGATGATAATAATCTGTCGAGAAGTGACATAGCCTTATCGGTAAATCCTACCCATTGGTTGAACAATGCTGTTGATGTGACCTGACCAGTTAGACCAGTAACTGGTCGAATTAGCGAATGAACACGATATAGGAAGGTTTGCCCTAATAAGAGAGGATGTGGGAGATGCATGATAGTTATCGATTCATTAAGTAACATAGTCAAAATGTAATGTTTGTCTGTCTGTACAATGTATGTGGTTTACATACATTTATTGTATTAAGTATTATTGAAATGGTACCATTAATGGTGGTTGTAACAGAGAATAAATAAACTTCACGATTGTAAAATATAACAGTTATTATTAAAAACTTTTATGTTGTCAATAAACAACAATATCAAGTGATTTAAATTTTATTTTATAACTTGTTCACAGTTTATATCTTTTTTGCAACTGCTGGAAATAATGGGTATTTTTATTTCTCTTCAAATGTGACAATAAATTTTCTTAGTTTTATGACTTTGCAAAAATTAATATTCATGTGAGTGCTGATTATTTATTTTCCAAAGGTTATTTTGACTGTAAATTATGATTTATAGAAAAATATTTTTTTTCAATAACGAATCGTTATTATCACTAAGATGTTTTAAGAATAAAATATGTCAGTTATTTAAAGAAAATATATATCTTTTCTATCGTGTTTTTCACAATTCAAGAAACGTCTCCAACAACAGTGCGAGAGAAAATACTCTTAGTCCATTTATGCGTGTGAAAATACTAAGGAAATAACAAACTGATAAAAAATGTTATAAATATGTTGCATAGGCATTTGTATAATTTTATCGTTCATTTAAATCTGTCTTTATGAGTGCAAAGAAAACTTTTTGAGGATTGATATAGTTGCTACTTTATTTTACATTAGAAAATGAGGTTAGCTTTTATAGAAAAAGAAAAAGAAATATTCGAGAGAAAAATCATACACTGAATGTTATTTCTGTAAAATGTGTTGATTTTGGTTCAAAATATCTTAATGTTGATGAAAGTTACTTGGAACAAAAAAAAAATTTATTGATTACTTGTACAGAAGTATGTAAAGAATATAATTTAATAAATCTTTCACTGTAAATCCAAAGTGTGTTACAGTAAACATACCTAAACGTCTTCAATGTTGAACTCTACAAACAAACCATAGATTTTAACACACCTTGAAGCGTGTTAAAAATAACTACAAAGCTCTACACTGAAAAAAATTTATCGTTGTAGGAGTAATCCAAAGTTTAACCGAAGTAGATTGCCATCACACTAATCCTTATGTTTACTCTAATTATTTGGATAGTTGTTACAACTGTTTTTATAGCTATTTCTTGTATAGTAATTTGATATTGAACACGCTTAAGGTGTGCTATTTTAACACACCTCTGGTTTACAGTGTTTAAAATTGTGAAATCTCATTTGAAAATTGAAGAGCTATATTATGATGATTAACAGATTTTATTTTTGTGATTATTCTAAGAGGAGAAAAAGTTTTTAAAATTCTGTACGTTCAACATTAAATTCCTTGTTCGCAATATCATTGCTTATTCTTTATGAACTTACATCCATACATGTGTACATTTATTTACATTTACAGTAGATAGAATGCATGTCAACCGCCGCGAATATTCACAATTCGTCGCAATCGTCACTGGCATGTAGATTCAACGGAGCATGGAAGCTACTGCTGATGCAGTTGTGGCTCCAATTCATAAGATAATTGTATTTAAAGACAAAAGCAGTGAACAAGAACGAGAGATATAACTGAGAATGCTAGAATTGAAGGAGCTATTGTCAATTCAGAGATAATATCCTGATTTGTAGATTCGCAAGTACTTGATTGGAACGAATTCGCAATCGGGTCGGGGCTTAAGTTGGCTCGGCAAATTTCTAGGTAACACGCTCGGCGCGCTGCCACTTGAGGAATCGTCAATGTGAGTTCGTGCTTAATTCTACAGCAAAAGTTACCCTTATGAATTGTAATTCCGATTGGCTCCTACTCAAGACCCTCGAGAAATCTTGGTAGTTCACACTTTCACCCATTGTCCATGGGGTGTCTTCACCACCCGGTGCACTCAAGCTTCGATGTCTCTATTGTCCATAATAGTTTATACGAGTGATTGCTAAGACAATTCATTTGTAGAGTATCCTGCGGAATGCTCTACGAAATTCCTTGTTGAATACCGTGTATATCACTGGATTGAGGGCGGAGTTTATATAACCTAACCAGAATGCAATGACAAATGCCTGAGCGGGTATTTGAAGGTCAGAAAAAAGAGGCTTCACGATGTAGAGGAAGAAAAATGGCAACCAACAAGCTATAAAACTACCCATAATCAACCCTAGAATTAGAGTTGCTCGTTTTTCTTTTTTTCGAGCGATTCTTCTCTTTTCTCTCTCTGGATCCCGAGGCTTTGGTGGCTTCGTTTCTATCGGAGTTCCAGCATCCTTGTTGCCATGTCTTCCTCCTTCACCTTGATCCCGTTTTACTTTTCCTATCGCTTTACGACCAAATATAGGCCGACAAAGACGGAGCTTCAGTGGTTTCACTACAGCACATCTAGACACTACTCCGCTGTCTGATGACGATGGATCAAATTCTGACACCATGTCGACATCGATGCCCACACTTGGAGCACGACATCGAGTTGGAACACTCCCTTGGCTTGATTGGCCCTCACCCCCATTTACCGACAGGGTTGCCATTAGATTCGTCTTTTGCATCGGCATCACCATTGTTACCTATGACGCAATTAATTCCTTTTATAATTTATTGCAATCAAAAATTATTTAAGCATCTTTTCTAAGTTACATGATAGTTTTTTCTTAGGGAAAAAGAACCTGTCGATACTGTAGTTAGACCAATTTTATAGATTTGGGTATTGAGAATAATTGTCAAACTATTAAAGGATTAGCTACTATACTATTCTAAAAATTCAATATTGACTCGATATTTGTTGAATAGCATTAAAAATGGTGATAATTGTGAATTTTTGAAGAAAACTTATATGAGTTGATGGTTTTTCTCAAATTACTGACAATATATTAAAATTTATAATAATATATTTTTTAATTTTATTCATAAAGTCATTAATTATTTTATTCAGATTTTTCTGAAGTTATTCATTGAATATCTCTTTAGCGGTAAATAATTAAATTCTAATTGCAATTGAACCACCGATGAATATAAAGTGTAATAAAATTTCATTCAATTTCCTCTGAGTCATTAAAAATAGATAATTATATTTGAAGTAAAAAATATTAGCTTTTTTCTGAAAAATAAAGGACTTTTGCATAATTTTTTTTAACTTGTATCACCATTTTCGTTTTTTTTTTTCTTTTTTAAGTCTTTGATTGATTTATAGTTAAGTAATAATTTTCACCTTGAGTGTATCCTTGTCATCAATATTAGAAATACCTCCTCCACCAGGATCAGCCTCAGAAGTACTTACGTCACTAGCAAAGTCGCAAGTGACGATGGGAATTTGTACTGGTTGGTTTTCAATAGTTGCTACGTTTTCCAGGGTATTGATACTGGGTGTCAGTCGAGCTTCCGTTGCACTAGACTGAGTGAAGCTCGTTTGCCGGATGTCCGGCGACTCTGGCGGGGCCGTTGGCCGTGGTTTCAGTGGCTTCCGTATTCCTCGTCTCGCTCTTGCTTTAGCAGCAAAGTAAATGCGTATGTATACGAAGACCATGATGCATGACGGGATGTAGAAGCTTCCCAATGCGGAGTAAAGCACGTAACCAATGTCCTCTGACAGCTGAAATAGAACAGAGAATTGAGTGTGACAATAGAAAGTTATGGAGGCTATTTTTAAAATAAATCGATTTTATTCTTACGTTTTTAAGAGACTATTGCCATCATGAGGTTATAGATAACTCTATTTTTTAATGTTTTGTTAAAAATAGTTTTTACGTGCTTGAAAAATCTATTACAATTATGATAGATAACTGAAGGTAGAACTTTATAAGAAATAATGTTCGGACCTTTTTTACAAAAAATATTTTCTGGAGTAATTTGATGATAAAAAACTATTCAATCTTCCTTTTGAGGTGAAAAAACTCTTTATTGGGAAATAAATAGACTTTTTATTAATAAAAAATATTGGTTTTTTAATAGATGTGTTTTGAATGAATCATTAGTTAGTTTTCTGTCAGTGAATTAACATTGCATGGTCGTTGTTCATGTCCATTTATATTTATATTTATTTTAAATATGTTTTTTATCTTATATCCACAAATAAAATTAACATGGAAAAATTTTAACTAAACTTCCAGCAAGACTAGTAATGTACTGTATCGAAATGAAGTTCTTTCTCATAATCCATTTGTTAAAACTCTATTTTTGGAATCGGATAAAAAAAATAATTTTTCAATATTGAAGATATAATAAGGAAAAAAAGAAATATATTTTTTCCAGTTGATTTATGAGGATATTCTTCTAAGTTAAAATAATGTTTACATGTTTAACGTAACAAATAGAGGATAAAGGTTCAGTTTGTATGTGGGTGTGACGTCAGGTCTTTATGGTTGAGTAAGCTTTTTAAATCCTTTCCGCAACGCTGAGTGTAATCGCAAAAAGTACACCAGGATCGTGGATGGATCAAGTGGGTTCATGTACCCTCGTGTGTAGACTAGCAGCAAGAGGGAAAGAAAATGAGAATGATGGGGTGTATAGGACGATGATGAAGAGAGACAAAGAGAGAAAGAGATATGCAAAATATATAACAACCAATTCCGCAGGCGCAAAATGAAAATTCATGAAACTATGAATAATAATGTTAAGCGGCCGATGGGGGGTTAGAATACAAACGACGTAGAGAGATGCAATCCACGTATGTAGACAGGATCTCGCGTGAGAACTCAAGACCGTTCGTGTGTTATGGATAAAAATGTACTTGGTGAAGTATGCTGATGGTAGAAAGAAGAAATGAAACATACGCTAGCAATATTTATTAATCGACGAGTGTGATTTAAAATGTCACGATTTAAAATTCATTCTCATCATCCGTGGTGGTTTTATTAAAAATTCATATTAAAAAGCTTGGCAGAAGCGGTGAAAACTTTTTTCTATATATTTTTAAAGTCACATGACGTGGAATAACAAAAAAAAAATCAAACTGCATGGAGTAATACTTTTTTTCAAATTTTCCCCAATTTACTGACAAATATTTCAACATCAATTAATCTACTATAAAACAACCATTAATGATATAGCTCTTGGACAATGGTTTGATAAATGAAAATTATTCATATTATTTAAGAGGAATATTCTTCTAGTGTCGATCGTTTATTCTCATTTCTTAATGACAATAGGTAATAATAAAGGAATATAATGCATACCCTCTTATTGTAGAGACTCTTGAGTCTTCATGGCAAAAACGTACATACAACTCAAGAACTTGAGAATGAAAAACTAAGGGTGGAAAAGGGAATGTTGATAGTGAAAAAAAGACGAAGAAATTCCGAAGAAAAATAGGGTAAAAAAAGAACAAAAAGACATTTTCCTTGGCGTTCTCGACCTTCGATCTACCCTTGAAAAAGTAAAGCTAAAGCTGAAGAGTTAGAGGAAGTATAGTGAGAACATACGTTTGGTATTTTATCTTTTTTCTCTATTTCACTTTATTCTATCTTTCTTACTTTTCATTTTCACGTCTATTTACTCTGACCTACATCAAATTTCGCGCTTTATTGTTTATTCATTTTATCTTCATTTTACACCTCATTCATACCCTTCACATTTCGTCTTAAAATTCTCCATTCAAACTAACTGCTCAATTTTTCTTTTTAAAAACTTCTATGAATAACAAACAAATAAACTGGAAAAGTCATAACATTATTGAGAAATTGGTGGTCATTTTTTGATAAAATAATAGAAGAATTTTCCGCAAAAAATATGGCCTAATATTTCATATGATAAATTTTTTGGAAAATTACCAAGTCTGGTAGACAGACAGTAGTCAGAACAGACAATACAATAAACGGTGAATCATTAAAAAAGAATTTTCAATGTATTCTATGGTCTAGACGCGTGATTGTTAGAGGTATGTATACTGAGTTTCACTCCAATTAAATTCAACGACTTGAAAAAGCCGTTGGGTATGAGATGCCAGACCTACGCGTGCTTCGTAGCTATCAAGAAGCTGAAGAGCTTGTGGTGATACGTACGAGATGATTCCAAGTGTAGGGATGACGGTGACCCAATTAAATTCCACATTCCAGAGATTGTAGTAAAGGAAGAGTATAAAATCAAGCAGGTGGATAGATAAAAAACGAAAAGAATCTCGTTACATTTCCTTTCTACTCTGCCTTCATCTGTATACACATCGCTTTCTCACTCATTCATTATAGCTTTTTGTATTTCTTTTTCACACTTTTATGCACAACCAATAGTCGTCTTTTCCAATGAATGTTAATGTTGAATGATGCTTTCTAGGTATTTTGCATGGATCAGAACTTTTAATTAACGTCGACACTCCATGGGTATTGATTACCTATCTTTTTGTTTTCTTTTTTTTTGTCGACAAATTTGCTATTTAGTCTCTTAAATTGTGTTTGTACTGTGCCTTCAATATTTTACTATGAAGAGTGAACTAATGTACTTTAATGAGCATATTGAATATGTTTATTTGATTGCAAATAAATCTAATAAAGGTTAAATATAAAGGCTTGTGTAAATGATCAAATTAACTCCTAATTACAATACTCAGTTTATGTCAAAAAGTTCTACTTGCCTAATGGCGCCGTTAAACTCTATTCAATTGAATAAAGTTTAGCCATAAATGCATATAATAGCATTTTTGAGAATTCTAACTGGTTTGAGTGAAGTTAGGATGCCTAATCATTTTCATCATTTATTAAGGAATATTCGTTTTTATCGAATAAAACAACTTGGTAATATAAAATAAACTTTTCGCTTGTATTTTAACTATGTTTAAGCAATTGGTTTTCTCGTAGATGTCGATGCTCTTAGTAAAAAATGAATTCTAAAAATAAAAAACAAAATTGAGTTATAAAAACGTAAAGGTTTTTTTCAGTAAAAGTTAATAAATACAATTCTTAAGAAGTTTCGTGACTTCGAATTTTTTTTATAATTCATAAAAGTCACTTATATTTGATTGTTGTTCTTTATTTATCAATAGAAAAAAGAATAAAGTTTTTTATTTCCTTTGTGTGGTGTTGAAAAATGACTTATTTATGATATGGATCTCGACAGAAATAAAGTAAAATCGATAAAAAAGTCCTTTAGCAAACTAAATTAATTGAGAGTTTAAAATTTCCACTTTTATTACCTCCATTAATTTTTCTGATGCCATAATGCATGAATACTCAATGTGTTGATTGATATGTAAATTTCTTGGGTAATATGTTTTTCGTGTTTACTCAGATAATTTAAATACACTTTTGTGCTTAAATTAATTTTTTTTACTAAAATACGATCTTGAGTTATCGTCCTCATCTGTATTTATTTGTAATTTTACTTATTTTGATAGTTTCAAATTAAACATGATTCTGTTGTTGGTTGCGTATAAAAATTATCCTGAAATCGAAGGTTTTTTGTGTTTTTTATAGTATCGACCCAAGTATATTTTTTTTACTTTGAATATTATTTCACTTCTTGAAATGAATTTTGTGACCAAATTAAATATACATTTACGTACAAAATTAGGACATATAGTGGAAAAAGAGTCAAGAGAGATAATTATCTTTTAGGTAATAGTTATTTTCAACTTTGAGAAGGGTTGAGAATCCTGCTGGCTCAATAAGATGGATCGAAACTCAAACATTCGTAATTGTTGTAGTAATTCATTAAATCATAAATTATTGTTGATTGAGTACATGCTAAATATTACGTGCAACATAATAGAAGATTTGATTAAGTTTGTTAAAAAGTAAATTTGTTAGATGACGAACTCAAATATATAAAAAATACATCATAATTGAGGTTCCTGCCGTTAGTATTGTTAGAGAATGATTTCATTGACCAATTAATTAATTTTTTTTGTTTAGTGATTATTTCTATATAAAAATTTTAATTCAAATTTACTTTTTACTTTCTTTGGTTCGAATTACATCTATTGCAGAGTAGTAGAATAAGCGGTCGTTATTTTTTTGTACTAGTTATACACTAAAAACATTTAGGATGTTTCGAATTTTTAATTTAATTTGATAGATTTTTTTTTTTAATTTAGTTACAAAAGTCGTTTATGAGTAAAACATTTTAAATTTTCTATAAAATGCGTAAAATTAAATCTGATTAAAAATTATAAAATTTTTAAAACTATTCATAAAGTAAATAAAGTTTCACATCGAGTTACAATAATGAAAATTTTTGATTATTTTCTAATAAGAAATACAATTGCATAAAAAATTAATTCCTGTAATCGGTTCGATCCGATCCAATTAGTTTTATTCGATAAGAGTTGATCTAACCAGCTCAAGGCTTAACTTTGATCAGCAATGATCGATCCATAAATTCAAAATCTTACAAACTGAGTTTTAAGAGGTTAATTTGAATTCAACTGAGTCCAAGTAATTGTATTATCAAAACAAGTTTTACGGTCAAGATTCAGTAAAATATATCTACCTCTGCTCAACTGCGGAAAATCTATTCCAGGATATGAAAATTTTTATTTATCGAGACATTTTTATATACAAGTTTCTACCGACAATTTTTATTGTACGTTTTGTCGTGAAAGGGATTGTTGGTTATGAGCAAAGGGCTATATAAATGTATATTTTGAGAGAGTAGGACATAACA